TTTATGAAATAAAGAGCTCTTACACCTCTCTTCTGTATAAACTTCCCTCATAATGTTCAGAAGTTATCATGTTTTATTATGAATTCTCACACAACTTTCTTGGACCAAAAATTGTAAGTGACAGAAATCTCACACTGATTTAAACACAAAATGAGACTTTAAAATCCTTAACAAAATATTGACAAATTGATCCTTGCAATATATACTAATAATAATACACTGTAACCAAGTGTGCCTTACTGTAGGATTGTAAGGCTGGTGCAAGATTTGAACATTAGTCAATATATTGCATCACATGAACTACATGATCATATCAATAAAAGCAGAAAAAACCCATGATAACACAATATTTATTCATGATGAAAAGTCTCAGCAAACTAGGACTAGGAGGGAAGCTCGTTAATGTGATGAAATATATCTATTTTAAAAAATGATCTCATACTTTCTTATAAAAGAATTCTTTGCTTCCAAAACTGGCAACAAGGGCAAGGGCATCCACTCTTACAATGCTTATTCAGCATTGTTCTGAAAATCGTGGCCAGTGCACCAAGACAAGCAGATAGCAAGAGTGTATCTGCTCCTGTTTGCAGGTGACATGGCTCCCATATAGAGAACCCCAAGCGGGGCTGGGGATTTAGCTCAGCGGCATAAGCACCTGCCTTGCAAGCAGGCAGTCATGAGTTCAATCCCCAGTACTGATAAAAATGAAAAAGACAAAAAAAAAAAAAAAAAAAAAAAAAAAAAAAAGAAAGAAAGAAAAAGAGAACCCCAAGGAATGTACGTAAAATTCTGTTGTGTTCTTCATGGAGCTAGCTACAAGGGCAAACAACACGTCACTTTTACATCCATACATGAGCAACAAATAATTGGAAATTAAAATTCAAAAGAATTCATTTATAAATACCCTCCCTCCATTAAACATTTTGTTATGAATCTAGCAACACATGTGCAGGAAAAACACATGGAAAATTACCAACTACTGATAAACATAATCAAGTGAAAGCTAAGTAAATGATAACTATACTATGTTCATAGATTGAATAATTCCTTACAGATCAGATGTCAATTTTCAGTGACTCTATAGATTTATACATTCCCAACCAATATTCCAGAAGAATCCTTTATAGATATAGATGTGCTTCCTCCACATTTATATGGAAAAATAAGGGAAATAGAATAACCCATCAATTATAAGAAAGATGAAAAATTGCAAGCCTCTCATTACTCAATTATAAGATTTAATTTGTTCACTGTGGTATTGGTAGATGTATAGACACATAGGACAGTGTGGTAAAATAGAGAACGAGAAATAGACCCACATAAACATGGCCAGATGAGTTTTACAAAGAAGCAAATGAGTTTAAGTGTATTAAGTATAGTTTTTTTCAATCAAAAACTATGGAATGAGGGGCCAGGAATACAGCTCAGTGGCATAGCACCTGCCTGGCAAGCACAAGGTCGTGAGTTAGATTCCTGGTACAAAAAAAAATAAAATTATGGAATAATTGACATCAATGTACAAAAACACTGTTTAGCCTAAAACCTCATATCTTATCCAAAGTTAACTCAAAACAGAACATAAATTTAATCATAAAGCATAAAACATTTAGGAATCATATGAGCAAAATATGTACTTGAGTTAGCAAAAGTATCTTCAAAAAGATGCCAACAGCAAAATCCATAAAAAAAGAATTGATACATATGATTTTATCAAAGTTAAAAAGCTTTCTCTGCAAAAAAAAAAGTTGAAAGACTTAAAGAAAATATTGGAAAATCTCATATCTAACAAAGGATTTGTAGCCCTCTCAAAACACAAAGAGTAAAAAAACAAGAGCGGGCAAAAGTATAAACAGACCTTCACTGAGGAGGTTAAATGGGTGAAGAACTCATGAAAAGTTGTTCAAGCACCTGGCTGGCAAGTGCAAGGCCCAAAGCTACTGCAAAAATAGAAAACAAAGGCAAAAAAAAAAAAAAAAATGGAAACAAAGAGAAGTTGTTCAATATTAAAGCCATTAAGAAAACACAAGCTGAAATGAAAACAAGGAATCACTGGCTACCTTAAAAAACCCCACTATGCCAGGTGCTGGTTGGGATGCGCAGGACACAGAACCTTTACGCATTGCTGTGTCTCTTGTTGAGACTCTGCAAGGCTTTAGATCTTAAATGGCCCTTAGCGCTTCCATGTTTGGTGATTGGATTAAAGACTGTGGGGTCTGGCTGGGAGGAGTGGGTCACTGAGGGGTGTGCCCTGGAAGCAGTCATCTCCCCCACCACTTCACTCTGGCTTCCTGTGAGCCCTGCCCTGGGCAGCTCTCCTCGGCCATGCACCTCTGCCTTGGTCTGGCTCAGAGCCAATTGACTGTGGACTGAAATGTGAGTCAAAATTATCCTTTTCTCCTTTAAATTGTGGGTGTTAAGTAATGGTTTTCACCAATGAAGGAAGTAAGACGCCCAGAAATCCCACTTTTAGGGATTTACCCAAGTGAAATGTAAACCTATGTTCACATAAAACCCTGTATGTGAAAATCTCATAATCACTGAAAAACTAGAAACAAACCAACTGTCCTTCAAAGAGAGAATGGGTAATCAGTGGTACATCTTATCAGTGAAATGTTACTCAACAATACAAACATATGAACTATTGTTACCTACAATGATTTTGATAAATTTCAATGCTATTATCTCCACAACTCAGTATCAAGAGTTCCATTTATAGAATATTCTGAAAAAGACAGAACCACATGGATAGAAAAAGACCAGTCACAGTTGCCAAGAGTTAGGGCTAGGGAAAGGCTTTGACCCCAAAGGGGAATCATGAAGAAGGAAGTTTAGAGGGTGATAGAATTGTTCTGCATTAATCTCTCTTGGTTTTGTTTTATTTTGTTGCAATACTGTGGATTGATCACAGGAGCTTTGCCCTGAGCTACAACTCTAGGCTTTTTATTTTCAAGTAAGTTGGTTAATGAGTCTCAGTAAGTTAATGAGTTGTCCAGGCTGAGTTTGAATTTATAGTCCTTCTGTCTCAGCCTCCCAGAGTGCCAGGATTATGGGCACCTGTCACCACACCCAGCTTGTTCTGAGTTATTACCATGGTGGCACATGAATATCTGTGTGTATTAAGGCTGGTAGAACGATGCACCAACCAAAAGTGAGCTTCACTGCATGTATATTTAAAAATAACTTCAAAATAGGACTTCACAAATGGCTGAATCCAGAGGCTGAAATAAGGTTATGGAGGATTGGCCTCTTCCAACTCTTATCTCTTACTCTAAATTTATTCTCAGATAGGCTTTCTTTTCAATGAAGTGTTTCTCATTGGAGCAAAGTGAGCCACACATACATCCTGGAATCATGGATCTCGCTGACCTGTGGCCAAAGGGACTCAATGTACCCACTGAATGTCCTGTGTCATGTACTCACTCCTGGTGGATGAGGGTAAGTGAGAATCAAACCAGTTCTATCTGCACAGCTTGAGAGGGCTGAAGAAGTGGTTCCAGAAGGAAAAATCAAGTTGCTGTTATTAGAACTATGAGGATACATGCCACACAAGGCAGAAACTACTCATGTCCATGGTTTTTACTGCCATTTCTCTAATCAAGGACTATACGGTGCTCTGTAGACTATTTGATATCCTACCCATACACAACAAATTCTTTAAAACCAGGGACTCTGCATTACTTTTCCTTTTAGCTTCCAACACCACACATTTTCCACATGTAGCAGCAGCTCAGTAATATCAGAAAATATGATAAAGTGATAAACATTTACCAATATGTTTATAAAACTAGACATGTGCATGAACATCTAAAACCTCTGAAGGCACATTTTTCCATGTATCTCTGCAACCACATTATTGATAGCCACTTTCCCATTCAATCTTGCTTTTCTGTACTGAGGTTTTAACATGTAAGGCTCCGTTTCCCAACAATAGCAAATCCATCATTACATTGTCATCTATCACATCTGAGTCCTCAGTAATGAAAGTGTCTTTCTTTCCACATTAGCAATTTAGGTGGGCGAAAGAGCCATACAGATGTGTGATGGAAGGCTGGCAAATTGGATTATACAAGATTAAACAAGATTCTGTTCTTTGGGTTCCTCTGTTCAGCAGGAATTTTGTTGATCTGAAGAATGAAGGGGCCAATTGTTCAGAAGTACTTTTCTTAGGAGAAAATTGCACCAAAATCATTTTTTTCTTTTTGCTGTTATTGGCATAGTAGGAAGCTGGGAATAGCAATACCATGTAAAATGACTTGTTTTAATGTTATTAAAGGAAATATGTTGGGGCTGCTGGTGTAGCTTGGTGAACCTAGCATGAATGAAGTCCTAGGTCCATCCTTGGCACTGAAAAAAAATTTCAGCATCTCCATCTTGGCCTTGGTAAGGGCTACATACACAGGTGATCCTCAGATTAGCTCTGCTGGGCCTGCCTCTTCCCATCTCCTCAGGGCATTTATTGATTTATAGTGTTTGAATAACTTTTACCTCTTTTATGCAATGTAATTTTTTTGTTTTGCTTTGTTTTTGTGTTATTGAGGATTAAACTGAGGATCTTACTACTGAGTTACATCTTCAACCCTTTTTATTTTATTTATTATTTTATTTTGAGGCCAAGTCTCACTAAATTTACAATTCTCCTGCCTCAGCCTCCTACAGTGCTGGGATTAGAGGCACCCACCATCATGCCCAGCTATTCCATGTAATTCTTAGTAGGTTAGAAAGATTTAATTTCATCTCTCTCAATGGCTCTGAATGCCTGAAGTATAGCCAAATGTCTCATCTATAACTGAGGACTTGTTCCCAATTTACCCTATCTCAACTTCTTCCTCCCTTCCCATCCTCATAGTCACTGCTTATGCTTGCATGTTTCCAGCCCTGATTATTGAGATAAGATTTCTGATTTCAGAGTCTGTGTTACCCGTGGAGTAGTCCAGAACAGTGCTGGTGGACCTGAGCAGGACCTGAGAAACATCTCCCGCACCGTGCCCTGTTGTAGGTCCTCATGGGTGTGGACTTCTGTCCCCTCCACGTTTTCAGGTCCCTTGGGACAGTCTTTATATTATCTCTTTAGTGTCCTTCCACAGCCCTCAGTATAGTATTTTTCACATAGCAAAAGCTCAATAATTGCTCCCCAATACAGTCAATAGTTTTTTTGTTTTGGTTTAGAGACAGGGTCTCACTCTGGAGTCCACCACCATACCCAGCAGTAGTTTGCTTTTAAAATGCCAATATGGAGCGGCTTTATCTGTTTTTCTCCTCTAATTTGAATAGAAAACACATTTGCAATAACTTTGCTTAGCATAAGGACATCTCCTCAGGGAAACAAATAAAGGCTTTTAATTTATTTGATCCTGCAAAAGACAAAGGGAACTTGAAATTGAGAGTCAGGTAACTGAATGGGGAATAGGCGAAGAGAAATGGACAAATATAAGGGAAATTTTGATAGAAGAGGTTGTTGAACTGAAAAAAGTATAAATAGTCTTAAATCAGTTTCCCCTGTGAACTGTTAGTACTCAGAGCAGTGCTGAGAAGCCCCTGAAGCACTTCTGTGACATTAGGAAGCCACAGCAAACTTTTTCTGATTTTTTTTAAGCAAACAGACTAAATAGACACTTTTTTATTTTCTTAATGCAAAAAAAGAGGTAGTTTGAATTTATCTTTAATCCAACTTGCTCCATATGGCTAAATATAGAGGATCCAAACTTGTGCTTCTTAAGTTCCAGTTAAGAAGAGTTTCTTTTCTTCACCTGAAGATAGATGACTCCCTCTTGGCATGTATTCTCAGCACTGGAAGTTGAGGCACTGAAACCCTGTTGAGATTCAGGCACAGGGCAGCAAGCTGGGCAGGTGGTACCAAAGAGTTTTATCTCAGTGTAGCTGTAGAAACACCTGGTGCCGGCTGTGATTGATGAGGGCATAAAGACTATTAATCCAGAGTATGGGGGAGAAGCAAAGTGGGTGGGACACTGCTCGAGGTAAGAAGGACAAGGAGTGAAGAGACAATGCAAGCGGGTCAGGGACAACCTCCAATTCTGCTTTGCTCAGTGGAGTCTGACACCCAGCAGGAGAATGGGATGCTGGTCTCAGATTACAGTGCTACTTATTTCAGTGCCCCAATCTGTTTGGTTTTGATAAAAGATCAGCATGAAGGCCAAATCAGACTTCCTGGAAATTATGTGACATTGAGGAGAGGCCCAACTTTCAAAGTCTACACTTGGCAACAACAAAGCACGGCTCATTGAATACCAGTCAAGAGACAGACTAATGGTAGGTGTTGCTATGATCACTATTTTGTGGGAGAGGAAAACGGTTCCATGTGGTAAAAGGACTTGCTGAAATCTATGAAGGCCAGAAAGCTGCAAAAGCAGAACTCAAAGGGAGTTCTTTCTTGTGCTATAGTGCGTTTTATCTAGCTACATTCATGGTGATCTGGGCAGCACCAGCATGACCTGAGAGCTCAGGAGAAAACAAGACATTAGGTCTTAACCCAGAGCCTCAGAATCAGGATCTGCATTTTGACAAGATCCCAGTATTAGAACTACTAGAGGAGACTTAGTCAAAGTCCCAGAGCCCACTCCAGACAATTATGTTAGAGTCTCTGGGGGTGAAGTGTGGACATTGGGAGTCTTTAGGTGCTCCAGTGACTAATTCTCAGCCAGGTGCTATGGCAGAGGCTCCTTTGCAAGGGGAGTTTGAAAATGAAACATAAAACAATTTTGCAAGTAAGACTTGTCCTAGGTTTTGCTTTGGGATGATTTTAGTGATTTCTCATTCTTCCTTTGGAATAGGAGAATATGACCTTCAGAGTATGCATGACCTTCAGGGTAATTGGAATTGTAGAGGTGAGGAGGCATTTATGAAGCACTTGCCTTGTTCCAAGCCAGTGTTTGGTTCTTCATCCTGCCGTGCAATGGAACCACCAGAAGTTCTTAAAAATCCTCATGCTCAGAGCATACCCTGGACAGATCTGAAGTTCTGGGGGGCCCAACCATCATAAATTTCAGTGCTTCCAAGTCACAGAGTGATTCCTATGGAGAGTTAGGGATGAAAATTTCTTCAATAGTTAGAGTCTGTGGGACTGTGAATCTTACCAATTTTGTAGCAATAAATATCAGTTTGAAGGAAATACAGGGGATATGCGAATGAGATAAACAATACCACGGGATGCAATCAACTAAATTTCAAAAGAAGAACAAATAGTTCAGATCACTCACTTTCTTTAACAGACGCATCAGTGATGTCCAATATTCTCCTTTATTTCTGTGTACATTTACACTATTTTTAAATAATAAAATGCTTTTTCTTTTCTTTTTTAATTCTCAGGAAGGAGGTTGCAGTGAGACAAAGCCAAGGAATCTGCAATTTAACCCTGTCCTCCTGAGATCCTCGTGACATTTTTTCTTTGCATACAGTGCTGGGGATTGAACCCAGGGCCTTCACACAGAATATCTCCAGCCCTGTTTTTGTTTTTTTATTTTGAAACAGAGTCCTGCTAATTTGCTTACATTGGGCACAAACTTGTGACCCTCCTGTCACAGACTTCCAGAATGCTGGGATATAGGTGTGTGCCATTATACCCAGTTCAATAATTAAATTAAAGACTCCTACTCTACAGCAGTGCATTCATTATGGGCTTTCTTAGGTCTACACCCTCCCCAAAAGGGCTTCCTCTGTGAGAACCAGTTATTCCTAGCCAGGGGCTGTGGCAGAGGCTCCTTTTGCACCTCTAAGTTCCTAAGTGTTTGATGGGGTTGACTAGACACGCACACTCAATACAGGCAATGAGATAGAAATAGAAAGTACACACCAGATTTCCAAAGATTGAGTAAGAGAAAAGGAAAATGCCTCACCAAAATTTTATATTGATTACATCATACATGTATAGTGTTTTAAGTGTGTTGTGCTAAACAAACAATTTAAAATTAATTTTTTAAATTTCTTTTTCTGTCAGATGGCTATGGGAAACTTTTAAGTTACATATGTAGCTCATGTTATATCCCAGGCACAGCTGCACCCTTGTGAACTTATGAGAAGTGCAGACTTGAGCTCCATCCAGCATACTGGCTCGGAAACTGCATTTGACCAAGATCTCTTTGTTTCTGCCTACCTCTCTGGCACTCAGTCGAAAACCCTGAGACACAAAAGGGGCCAAACAGACTCTTTTTTTAGCCCATCCTTTGTCTCAACCAGGATTATATTCAGACTCCCTAAGTACATCATCATCGTCATCATCAGGTTATCCTCTTTTCTGATCAGAGCCAGGAAACAAAAAGCTTCCTCTCCTTTCAGACTCTTTCCTGCAATTGAAGTCTTTGATTTCCAGCTCTGCTCTCAATCACTGTAGAACACCAGTAACTATTTCTCTTTTCCTTAATACTTCCTTTTTGAAGGCTTCTTTAGACTTTGTTTCCTTTACCCAGCTAATTCCATCCTGGCCATAGAGGACCCACTTCCCGGCCCTTTAGTCAGCTCAGCCCTTTGCAGAGGTACGCTGTTCCCCTCAAACCAGGTCACTAAACGTTCATGTCATAGTCTATTCTTTATGTAAAATCCTAAAATGGCTGGTGCGGGCAGGTCTTTTAGATAAATATCCCTATTTTTGGAAGGTTAGACAAAAGAAAAAAAGAATCAAGAGGAGCAGAATCCCTTGGAGACTGAAGAGGAAATGGTGAAGAGCGTGCCTGGAATGTAGTGGACTGAGTGGAGCAAGGATGGTGGGCTGGAACTCAGAAATCTAATTTTGGCTCATTCCTTAGCTTCCATTACAAACTCAGGAAAAGTCAGTTACCAAACCCAGATGCCCCAGTTTCCTCCCATCAAGTAAATGATTGCAAATTAATACTTTTAGTTGGGCATAGCGGTGCATGCTTTTAATCCCAGTATTTAGGGAGGGTGCAGTAGCAGGAAGGCAAATTTGAGCACAATCCAGGCAATTTTGCAATTTAGTGAGACCCTGTGTGTTACTGCTTGTATCTAGATATCACCCACAAATCCTCATGCAATCATAAGTAGGGCTTTTGGGAAGTGGCTGGAGCTTGGGTGTGTGACACTGAGATTAAGGGTGTTGATAACTAAATTGCTTTAGCATAGTTCTGGGCGTGGCTAATGGAAGCCCCACCCTGAGTGTGAGTAGCACTAATCAATAGCATTGTAGCCTGGATTGAATATAAAGGGATGGAAAGAGGGCAGGCTCACTGCTGATTGCTGCTTCCTACCTACCTTGCCATGGGCTGTTTCTCTTCTGTGCTCCTTCTTTAGGCAAATTATTATTCTCAAGTACCTTGCTGATAGAAAACAGTTCATAAAGCCTTTTGTATTGATTTGGTGACTCAGGGACCTTCACTTCTACAAGTGAAGTGAGCACTTCTACTAAACAGAGAGTCCCTAAATGAAAAGAGAAGATTTGAGTGTTATTATGCCCATACTCAAACCAGAGACATTCAACGATGGAAATCTTTGGAAACTAGAAACATTCATTTTTATTAAAGAGATCTCATAAAATAGCCCAATAAAATTTCTGCCTCCTCTCCCAGGAGTCTTTTTAGATCAATTCTAAATGAACCCACATTTCTGAAAGCTCAGTATTACTACCATCATCTCATGTTTTCCTGCAAAAAAGGTACTGTTTCAAAACAGTTACATTTCCTTTCCAGAGTGATAAAATTCCAATAGACTTAGCATTTACCCTTTAAAAATTAACCATGTCTTGCACTTCCAAAACACTTTACTTGTACTCATTAATGTCACAGTTGGGAAAGTGACATTTTATTCTTATCTCCAGGCAAACAAGCTGAGAGTTTAAGTAAGCTACCCCTTCTGAGAGTGGAAATCATGGTCAGAATGTCAGGATTTGAACCTGTATTGAGACCATTAAGGTGATTTTTTCAGGTACTTAACAAATGCACCTGGCGATGATAAACCACCTTTGGAGAAAGCAGCTGTTGGCCCAAATGGTGGTCTACAAGGAATCCTGGGGATTTTAAGGGTGAGAAAGGTGTATGGAAAATGGGCTGGATCCTCTTCCACAAGGCAGCATATGGAAGGCATGTGGCCAGGTGATAACAATAGCTGACATTTCCAGAGCATCAAAAATACACACAGATCTTGCATAATCCCATTATTTTGTCTATGCTTTGAGGTATGTTTTCTAATTATCTTAATTTTACTAATTGAAAAAGAAAAGATTTGGAGAGATGTAATAGCTTATCTAAGGCCAAAGACTGATACTTGAAAAGATCTGAAGTTAAAAACTAATGGTCTCGGGGCTGGGGATTTAGCTCAGCGGCATAAGCGCCTGCCTTGCAAGCAGGCAGTCGCGAGTTCGATCCCCCGTACCGATAAAAAAAAAGACAAAAAAAAATTTAAAAAAAACAAAACAAAAACTAATGGTCTCTCCCCATCATCACCAACACCTTGTACTAAAAATTGAACCCAGGGCTTTCATACTAAGCCATGTCGCCAGACTTTCTTTCAATTTTTATCTTTTGGGATACAGGCTTCCTAAATTGTTCAGTCTGAGTTCACATTTACAATCCTGCCTCAGCCTCCCAGGATGCTGGGATTCCAGGTGTACACCACCACACCCAGCTAAAATTTATGTTCTAACCAGTACTCTGTTGGTATGAATTCTGTAATTATAGCTGTAGTATTCACTTTCTGAAGCTAGAAACTCATACCTATTCTGCTTCATTTACACAATGTTAGTCATAAGAAGTTCTTAATTAATTTGAAAGCCTGGTAGATTCAACCTTATTAAATTCCAAGTTTGTATTATTATTATTATTTATTTATTTATTTGGTGCTGGGGATAGAACTCACAACCTCACACTTGCCAGGCAGGCGCTTGTGCCACTGAGCTAAATCTCTAGCTGAAATTTGTATTCTTTTAAAAAGACACACTATGTTTCCATTTCCATTTCTCAGACCTAGAACAGAATAAATAATTTGGGGAGAAATGAGTAACTAACGGTATTAATATCTCTTATTCTTTATTTATTTTGCAGTGCTGAGGTTTTTTTTTTTTTTTTGTCTTTCTCTTTTTTTCAGTACTGGGGATCGAACTCACAATCACACAGTTGCAAGGCAGGTACTTATGCTGCTAAGCTAAATCCTCAGCCCCAGTGCTGAGTTCTGAATCCAGGACCTTACACATGTTGGGTAAGTGCTCTACCACTGAGCTACATCCCTGGCCCAAAAGCTCTTATTTTTGAATCACCAAAAGTTATAAGCTAGATAGAGGATATATGTACATCTCTATATCTTTGTTTTTCACTTTCTTTAAATATTATAGCTAATCACTTTTTCTCTAAGGAGCCAGGACAAAGTGTTATGCAGCCTAATATGAACTTAATTATAAGTTCATTTTACTTACATGTAGACTGTCCCAATTTCTTCCCCATCACATTTTCTGCTAACACTTATTATATTTAAGTTTTACAAAAAATACTAGTGTCATATTAAAATATAGGGATCTACCAGTATTCAGGCTCATCAGTAACAGCTGGATAATGGGGCTTTTTTCTGAACTTTTGTCTGAGTTTTTATTATTTTATGAGAACATTTTTGTCTTTTTGGTACTTATGCCTGAGGATCTCCTCTTTTCAAGTCTTACCACCAGCATTATCTTATTTAGATTTGCTAACCACCCAGTTACTTCTGCTTAAATCTACCCTGACATCATCAGAGGTTTTTACCATAACTCCGATTTACATCTGTGTTCTGTTCCAGGAGAAGGTTTGATGAGTCCGATCCATTCATAACTCTGATAAAGTGAGTCTTACACTCCTTTGATGCTGATCCCACTTCCACACACTGAGAAGTTTCTCCATCTCGACCACACTTTTGGATCCATATTATTGTGGGCGTCCCTGGCACTGCATGCTTTACACACTCTACAATCCTGGCTTTGTTCTTTGGAATCAAGCCAGGGTTGAACGACTCATGTCATAAGAATGAGTGGTGTCAACCAAATTTCACCTCAACTATTTCCACTTTTGCTTCCACTTTGCACTTCCTAGCAGTCCCCTGCACATCCCTGCATTTCTGTACAGTTCGCATGCAGAAGCACAACTGTGACAATGTCTGGCAGACATGGGAGTCACTGTAACGATTTGTTTGCATCTACAAGTGTCTATTACTGGAGGTCTACCTGGTCCTGTACCTGTGAAAGTTTGCAACGTGAATGTTGGTAAGTCAGTTTGTAAGTCTGTATTTTTGTTTGGTTATAAGTTCACATGTGGTAGAATGGCATACTTTGATTAAATTAGGCCCATGCATATTTTTTTCCCTCATGATGTTTGGTAAAAATCTGAACTAATTGCTATCCTTAAAACTCAGGAGACTATATATGTATACATATTTCAACCTTCTCTAAAAAACCAAAAGGTCTGGAAATCCTGAACCCATATTCTCCGCAGCCCCACCTTAACTTTGGTAGGATGTCACTGTAGAGGGCAACTCCTCACTGCGTCAGCACAGTCCCAGGGCTCCACGAGCACACACCCAGCAAGTCCACTCTGCTGTCAGTGCTGGCCACCTCCTGTATCCTGCCCACACCCAGCCACATCCGCTTTGCACAGAGCTACATTCCTAATACCTAACACAGGGCCCAAACACTT